GGATCAGACGGCCGTGTGTGAGATGTGTGAGGTATAATATAGTCGGCGCTCCACTACTGTGCGCTTATCGAGACGCTTTTTGCCTCGCACAACCAATCTGCGGAACGGGTTATCGTCGGTATTTCCGGACCGATGCGACCTTCAAACCTTCAAGAAAAGAGCGTACTCCTTCCTTAAAGGCCGGCAACGCGTTTGTGACTCTTGCGTTGCAGACGTTCATGGGCGGCGATGGTCATTTGCCATCAGGTCTGCTCGTCTGCCCCCTCTAACATAAAAAAACAAATTTGTGACATATCACACACGGTGGTCCGATCCACGCACTACAGAGAGCCTGTACTATGGTAACCAGACTGCTGATAAACATATATATTTATTTCTTAATACATGTTGTTGATATCATCATCAAAGTTTTGGAACGAAGCTCCTTATCGCGCGTTGTGAAAGGGGGCTAGACGGAAAAAAATCTCACGAAAAGTTGTAACGACACTTTTTATGTCAGTCATTCAGCGCCATCTATCGAATAGATAGGAAATTATTACTTTTCATCTCAGTATTTATTTTGAATTGTCACTTGTCAGTCATTCAGCGCCATCTATCGAATAGATAGGAAATCATTTCTCAAGGAGATTTTACCAATGTATAAATTGTTTTAATTAGAAACCAACTGAAAAATATGTAGGTAATAGCCGATTTCATAGATGGCGTTGTAATTAAAATCGTGTCGGATCAGTTTTACTCGATCGTCACAACTTCGTTCCTATCGGGTGTCCCACGACACCACACGGCTATTTTTTTCCCACGTGGGGAGCGAACCCACAACAGCGCGCAATAACTCAGTAGGAAGCGGCGAGGTGACCGCTCAAACCACTACGCCATCCGTGCAGTCTACTAGTCCAAAGAAAGGGGCTTCAAAATAAGATTCCTTTTCGATGGAAAGTTATCTAGACTATAAGTAAGGATATAATGACACACAAAAGTCAATACAAACCGACTCTGTATAAATATAAATTGTTTTCCAAGTCTTGCGATCATACACAGGTATTAGATTTGTAAGTTGGCACTTTCTCGTGATAAAACTTACAAAGTACAATGTTCTTTTGTTGGTCACTCAACGTTTTGATCGAATGGCAATGAACATGACAGGAGAGGTATTTAGGCATAGTTTCTGTCGAAGTACCAGGAGTATGAACCATGGAGGGCCATGGGTCAGCTCGTTCGGAGTGATACCACGGCATCACAGAAAACCGCTGTTAAACAATTCTCTTGTTGTGTCACCGAGTGGGTGGCGTTACTGGTGAACAAATCCCCCCTGTGTAGATTCTCGCACATATATAAAACTGGCTTTTGCCCGCGGCTCCGCCCGCGTAAATGTCAGTTATCGCGGTAAAAAGTAAGCCTATGCCGTTCCTCAAGAATCAAAATATTTCCATACCAAATTTCATCTATTGGTTCAGCGGTTATTGATTCCCAATATAAACTTCCACCTCCCCTTTTCCCCGAAAGGATGATTTCTGGGATAAAACTACCCCATATCCTTTCCCGGGACTCGGACGATATCCATACCAAATTTCATCTAAATCGGTTTAGCGGTTTAAGCGTGAAGATGTAACAGACAGACAGACAGACACACGTCCGCATTTATAATATTAGTATGGAATAGTACAGGTGGAATGTGAAAGTTTAAAACTTAATAAGATCTTTATAAGGTAAATAATGACTGGCGCTTAATAATAAGGCCTATCGTACATTAAGTTTCAGGAGTTAAAGGTCAAATGTGAGTTGTCGGAAGCTCCGAAGTGACGGAGCCCGAGGACAGAGGAGGTCGATGAACGGCACGAAAGTGAAATCGCCACGGGCGAGGTCAAAAGTACTATCCATTATCCAAGATGGCGATGCGTTTATTTGTAGCCATTTTTGAAAGTAAAATGTATTATTTGTTTGCTATAAAGTTATGTAAGTTTTCCGTGTGGTAATCCGTCAGATTAAGAATACAGAGTGTCACCACCCCTATTCATCCCGTGGGTGTTGTAAGAGGCGACTAAGGAAGCAAACTACGCAGGACAACAGCACTGAAGAGAGAAGGAAAACTTGAAACAAACCCTATACCAACCCGTCTGGCCAGCGTGGTATAGTAGGCCAAAACCTCCTTCCTAAGGAGAGGCCTATGTCCAGGAGTGGACTAGTAAAGGCTGTTGATGATGAAATTATGTGTATACTGGGAAAGGCGTGAAATTCAACCAACATACTTTTACACATACATAAAGTCAAGCATTATATCTCCTAAGTTGTATGCGAAGTCGTTTTAAAGGTCCACCTTTTTCTAATTACAATTTTAGTCCCACTTATACTCGTACTCAGATATCGTCTTTGACGTTGAATTTCGTCAACGTCAAAGACATTCTGTATAATAGGAGGCAATCCTGACTTATTAACCTAGTTCTTTATGCAAGGGGAAGTCAGGAGTATGTTGAAAGGAACAGACAATAAGTGGAGGCAATGGAAATTTCAGCAGCTCAAGGAGGTCAGGATCACGAATTGGATATCGTCAGAAATTCCGAGCTCTTTAGCCTCGAGCTATGATATTGGGACATGGGCGGTATCTAAATCATAACTACGCATAGCTTGTTCTACGGGTTTTTAATAAGCATACCTAGATATTTTTTAGGAATTATACATAGAAACACCTATACTAGTGCAAGTAATAATACATAGCGTGATGTAATATGGCCTTCCTGGGTAAATGGACCATCCAACATTTTCAATTCGAACCAATCGTTCCTGAGACCAGCGTGTTCAACCAAACAAACAAACTTTTCAGATAGTTTTAATATTTTTTTAGCCAAAGCGCAAAGGTTGCAAGTTAGAAATTACTTTCACCGATAAGGAGGCCATTTCTATATTATGTTCTAATGATGTTAATCTATTGTGAGGCAATCGAGAAGGCCAGACACTTGATGGTAAGGATCTACCTGAATACCATCTCCCAACAGCCTCTAATAGTCCACTGCTGGACATAGACGTCTCTTAGAAAAGAGGTTTTGGCCTACTATTCATCGCTGGCCAGGCGGGTTGGTAAAGGGTTTGTTTCAAGTTTACCTTCTTTTTGCAGTGCTGTTGACCTGAGTAATTCGCTCCCTTAGTTGGCGTCTGTCATATACACCTTCAACTCAAGATATGCAAGTGCGAAGCTGATCATTGAGTTACCCCTGCCCCTCCCAGAGCAAGGAAAAAGGGTATCCGATAATCCTACTCTGGCGGTGAAAAGCAAGGAAAGAATGCCTTAACACGGGTTTCTTGTGCGGCTTTGGTATCAGTCCACTCCAGCTGTCCAGTATGTGCTGTCCCATGGTTCGTACTGTCGGTACTTCGACACAAACTGTGCCTAAATACCTCTCCTCTCACGATCATGATCGGTGTCATTCGATCGAAACGTTATCAGTCCAGTCCAGCTGGCCCGTTTGTGCCGAAGCATGGCCCTTTCGTTCGTTGTTCATTTCCTCGTTTCGTTGACCTGTACCCACATCGATGGCAAGTTCAGTTGAACTCAAACACGGTCAAGCGCCGACCGCGTCACGTTCACTAAACAGCACGCGACGAACGAGCCACTTACAACGATATTTAATACAAATAGTATTGTTTATTAGTAAGCACACGCGGCATATCTCGCAGAATAATTGGATATTTGTGTTTTGAGGGTTCGTGAGTCAATCCACACACCTAATTGAGTTATTTATTTTAGCTTTTATTTAGAGTTAGCTTTTGCCTGTGGCTCCGCCCGCGTGTGTTTCGGTTATCGCGGTAAAAAGTAGCCTATGTTACTCGCAGATGATTGAGCTTCCCGTTGGTGAAATAATTTTTAAAATCGGTTTAGTGGTTAGGTTAGGTTAGTGGCGTACAAGGCGTTACAAACAAACAAACTCACTTTAACATTTATAATATATGTATGGATTAGTAACTAGACATTAATTGTTGAATGTGGGTGTGGGTAAGCACATTTTTGTCATTTGTTCAACATACAATGACAGAAATAGTTTTTTTTACGTGAGGAAACCCCCTTGGTGTGGTGTGTCGGAATCGGACCGACTCAAACCACAAAGTGTGCCACCCTGCGACTGTAATAGGAGGGAACCGGGTACTGCTATTATTAAGTCATCCGGACCCCTTCTAGCGCCTGCCCGCTATGGCGCGGGCACCATCTACGGGTACATTCTCATTATATTTGCCATATCCATACATTCTCCTTATCCTCGCGGCTGGTCGTTATGGCGGGTGGACCGGCAAACCCGCCCCGTCCACCCGCGGCCCACTCAGAGCGACATGAGCCGGTGAACAGGACCTCTACCTGCAACCTATGGCGCAATGGTCGATCGGTGTGGCCGTAGCCGCGGAACCCTATCATGTTCGTCACCGTCCAAACTACAGGCTCCAACTGAGGAGATCGACATGGGGGCTGTTCGCTTCCGTGATACGATTACGCAGATCTGCGATGCAGCCATGCCCCGTATCCGAGGTCGTCGGCCTCCAAGTAAGGAAGACTACAATGACAGAAATACTTGCTTCAATGCCATCCAACAAAGATACATTGAACTACGGAGGGACTACTTATACTGCATCGCGTAATAAAAAGGTTCTCAGTCCACAACCCCAAATCTCGTGATGTAGGCTAAATAATACTCAATAATAATATTTTTACACATCTCACACACAGCCGTCTGATCCCAAACAAGGCAGAGCGTGTACTATGGTAACCAGACTGCTGATAAACATATTTATATACAGTAGAACTCCAATTATCCGAATTAATGGGGACCGGGACCCATTCGGATAATCAAATATTCGGATAATCGGATTTTTTTAAAAAACATTGCCATATGAGAGAATAAAAGCTACGTTTTGATATTGCACTATTTTTTTTATTGAATTAAATGAAAGAAACATGAAATTTTCACATGTTTTAAATATAAATAAAATGTACTTATGTACAAGTTTAGAAATAAAAATCATTGTTTTTTAAACATCTCCGTCAATGTAAGCTGTTTTGCGGTCTTCAACCGTTTTCGGGCAGCCAGGTCACGCATTCGCTTGACGGTGAGCAGTTGCAAGTGGTCACACTCGGGCTGACGCTCCATCCACTTCAAAGCAGTCTCGAGGCCGGCAAATGCTTCACTAGCTGATGGTCCAGCGTCTACTTCAACATCAGCAGAAAGTTTTTCTTCCACTTCCACTTCAACATCTTCTCTCACACTTACAACAATTTCATCGTCATTGAGAATTTGAAAACCAGGGTCAGACGTGTCACAAGCCATCCACTCTCCTACATCTTCAGCACTTACTTCTGTACAACCAGGAATTTTTACAATCATTTTTCTTATTTCCTCTAGTGACAACGCATCTTTATCATCATCATCCTCTCCATATTCTTGTTTCTCATTTTCTTCAGATTCTTTTTTTTTGTTCTTCTCAGACGGTAGGCCTTTCAGTTTATTCCACGCACGTCTTAGCGTCACTGCCGTAACCAAACTCCAAGCTTCCGCTACCATATAACAGCAGTCCTTTAAATTTATTTTGCTATGATTTGCCAAAACCAATTCTTCATCTTCAGCACCTTCGATCAGCAGTTTTCTCAGCAGTTGCCTTCTGTAATGGCGCTTCATTGTTTCAATAACAGACTGGTCCATGGGTTGCAGCAAACTTGTAACATTGGGAGGCAAAAACGTCGTTTTAAACTGCCCATTCTCTCTTTCCAACAGTTCTGCTGTAGGATGAGTGGGTGCGTTATCAACAATTAAAAGCACCTTACTGCCTTCTTTTCCCACCGATTTTTGGTGCTTTTTCACTTCAGGAATAAACACTTCATCATACCATTCGGTAAACAAAGCTGCAAACACTGGCTTCGCGGGGGGAAGAATAATAGCGCACTTAGACTTTTTTTGGACAATTTTTTTGTGATTCGGATAATCGGCGATTCGGATAGTCGGAGTTCGGATAATTGGAGTTCTACTGTATTTCTAAATACTTAAATATTATAGATAAATTACACCCCGACACATAACAAATGACACTCATCATTATTGGTCCTGGGTGGAAATCGAACCGAATGTTATTTATTTAGAAACACACCCGCCTGTCACAGTATGTCTTACGAATCGTGATGCTGAGCGCATCAAGGCGATGTGTGTAAGAAACTGTGTTGTTTCTGATCAAAATAATCTACAAAATGTGTTATTTTCAAATCCTTCCATATATGTAGTGTCGTTTGTCACGAGCACTGCATTAACATACTACCTATTTGACTATGTTGCCGGGAAATCCGAGCCCCTAAACATTTACAACTATATTTCACTAGTTCGAACCCGCTACCATATGATATCATCATCATCAACACCTCTCCTTAGACCACTGCTAGCCAGACGGGTATGGGGTTTGTGTCAAGTTTTCTTTTTCCTGTAGTCCTGTGTAGTTTGCTCCCTTAATCGGCTCTTACGACACCCACGGGATGAATAGGGGTGGTGACGCTTCGTATTCTAAATCACCACACAGACGCCATAACATAGCAAGTCTGTCATGGCAACCGCTAACTTCCTATGTAGTTGATCTACAGAACGTTAAAGACAAAGATGAAACGAACCGATAACACACCTCACACACGTCCGCAGTGCGTAGCATTTAAACAATTAGCTGTGATGAAAGTCTGCAGATGAGTGCCACCGAGTTTATAGGCGTTTAGTTTTGTGTTACGCTCACTGCTCCGCCCCTGATAGTCGTGGCGTGATGTTAAATAAGTCTATAACCTTCCTCAACAATAGATAGCCCACTATTTAATCCGATCTTTTTAGATAACGTTCTTTAACGAAACGTTTACGTTTATAAAGTTCTGAATTTAGAAAAATAAGTAGAATGCTTTTAACCAAATACAGATTTATAATATCTAGTGTACGAGTAGATGTTATCTTTAAAAAGTCGCTGTACGCGTCTGTCTTTATATTCGCTAACTTCTCCTAAACCATGCAACGGATTTTGATGTAGTTTTCATCATCAGTTAGACTATTTTTCAAGGAAGTTTTGTGTAACGAAAAATATTTTTTTTAATTATGTACTAGACATTGTAGTCATTCTAAATTACACCCCTGCGAAGCCAGGGCGGGACGCTAGTATACTACACATAATATATGGTACAGGTTTTGAAAAAAAATCCTGTTAATATTTTTACATACTTTTCAAGTAAAGTGAATTTGTTCGACGTGCCTAATACCATAACGCTATGAAATATAGGAGCGGAGTAGTGAGCCTACACTACTAGGAACTCCAAGTCGCCAGCGCACTGATGGACAGACAGACGAACATGGAGAAACTATTTATAAACCCCGGGGCCTTCGAAATTCGACTATGGATTCTTGAAAACAGAGCAACCTTAAGGGTGGAATTACTATGGCAGTTTAACACCTCAAATTTAACTCTACATCGACGACTTTAGAACTAATTCTCAAAGTTCGTCTTTCTATCGTGTCAAGAGGCCCTTTCATTTGCCTTTGTCATATATTTCAATCAAACTATTAAAGTAGCCGCTATAATGTTTGTCTTGTCTCTTTTAACGCATATTATAAATAAAACTTTTCTTATTAAAATGATGAACTAAGTTTCTTCACCCTGTGTGAGCCAGGGACGTCTCCGCCGACCTTCACACAAAATTATACTAAATTTTTCATTGAATAAGGTTCAAATTACAATACACCAGTGACAACGCAACCTTAAACCGTGTACAATGAAATCGAAACTCTATTCAGGTTAATGTAAAGAATAAAATACAATGGGTATTGTGGATACCTCATGGTACCGATTGCAAATAAAGGGTTGTGAGTTCAGGTGCTTTGTGGCTTGATGTCTGTTCGTTAATGTAATCGTCAATTACTCATACATAACTTTTAAATCGCAACCAATATTTGAAGAAGATTTCATTTAGCGATAAGGCCGCCATTTGTGTACCACATCGGCTTTGTATACTTAAAAGCAATATTGTGTGTATGTGTTACGATATAGTTTGTTCTACTGTATGGTGTGTCGGTTGGTTTAGTGGTTCCTGCCCATGGTGTGTAATTTATCTATAATGTATAACTCGTCTATCTGTAATGTGTAACTATGTATGGCGTAGTGGTTTGTGTAACGGACTGCTATTCCAAAAGTCGCGGGTTCGATTCCCGCTCAAGTTAAACATTTGTGTGCATGAACATTTAATGTTTGATTTGGTCTGGGTGTTTCTATGTATAATAAGTATGTATTTACAAAAAAAGTATATATGTATTTATATCAGTTGTCTAGTAGCCATAGTACAAGCTCTGCTTAGTTTGGGACTAGATGGCGTAGTTTGAATGTGGTAGAATCATCATCATCATCATCATCAACAGCCTTTAACAGTCCACTGCTGGACATAGGTAGAATATTATTATTATTATATTATTATAACTTCACTGCACCTCGCCGCTTCCTACTGCGTTGAGTGTTATGGGTACGATCCCTACATGGGACAACACTTTGTGTGATCCACAAATTGTCGTTCTAACTCTGGGTGTTCTTTGTGTCCGTTTCATGTTTGTTTGTAAAAGTTCCCTCGAAACAGGATATATTTCTATTGCGGGAGTTAAAAAAAAAGAAACAAACCCTGTGCCAAACCGTCTAGCAAGGGTGGTATAGTAGACCAAAACCTCCTTTCTAGGTAGAGGCCTATGTCCTGCAGTGGAATATTATAGACTGTTGATGATGATGATGATTTAGTAATATATTTATTTTTATTTATTCATATAGGACAACTTACAAAACATACACTAATACATAATTTACAAACATGTTTTACAAATATTTTCTGAGTGTTGTCTTACTTACAAGTTGCCACGGCATGGTAAGGGACAGTTGCATCTAAGATTACAATGCAATATCTATAATAATACACAATAATATACACAATATAAGTATGTTTATCAGCAGTCTGGTTACCAAAGCACAGGCTCTGCCTACTTTGGGAGCAGGGTACAATAATTATGCTTTAACCTATTAATCGGTAGACATTCTGTGGCCATACACAAGCTGCTAATGCACTAACATTATGGTCTCATTGTACCCACGCAGTGAATGAAAACCAAATTTGCTTGGTCTTCCCTCTGAACAGTCCTCAGCCTTAATGAGCTTAACGACAGACAATTTGGACAACAAACTGTTGCTTCACACACATTGACAAAGTAGTTTGAAGAACTGCCGTTTAAAAACTCTAACGTTGATATTAATGGTCGCGGAAACATCATTATCGTTGTATTACGAACTTTATGAACAGGACAACAGAGTTCAATGTACTATATTAGTTCGCATAATACTACTGTGGTGTGGTAAGTTTGTTGATTGTTAGTCACAGTCAAGATATTGTTCAATTTTAGATAATTTCAAAGAAGGTCTTCATACAATTAAATACGAAAGGTATGACGTCATCATTTACCGTCTTTATTGCATTTCGCGTTAACATATTGCTGGTAACAAGAAGCTTTATAATAATAGCTAGCGATCCGCCCCGGCTTCGCACGGGTGCAATGTAGATACTACTAATGTGGTGTAAGTGTGGAGTAGTTAATTATTCTATTATTATGATAGGACTATACTACGGGAATTATTTGATTGCGCTTTTTATGGGCCCACTCTGATCCTGCCGGCCGCTGCCACCCGGAACGGACGTAAGGCTCAACGGTCGTTGGACCTCGCACATTAAACCGTTAATATCTTCTAAAGTATTCATTTTAATGATATGCTGTAAAGAGCAATTTTAATCTACATTAAATGAACAACGTATCTAACGTATTTAATTGGATAAGGAATAATAATGTATTGTTTAAAATAGATTCTTAAATAACCCATTTTTGTAATATTTAAAAGATAAAAGAGGTTACTGTGTGTTATCCTTAGGAGATAGACATACACCATCGCGGACTTTTTTGTAGATTTACAAAAGATATACAATACCGTAGCACATTATTTTGATTTATCTCTCAAGGTTTAGAGCCAGCGTTTGAAATGAAAGCGCACAAAAACATGTTTTTTACAACTAATCTTTGAAATTCTCGCATTTCTCTAATATGCATGTATTATACATACATATAAACCCGCCTCTTGAATCACTCTCTCTATTGGTGAAAACCGCATTTAAATCCGTTGCTTAGTTTAAAAGATCTAGGCGTACAAGAAAACAAAAGTTGCTACATTTTATTCTATGTAAAGAAGATAACTTCTTTACACATTTCACTCACGGCAGTGTAATACCAAACTAAACCTAACCAATTTTGAAAATTATTTCACCAATGTAAACCAAAGTAGGTTTGACAAAAGACAAAATGTGCTTACCCACACCCACAACGAAACGAACGAAAGGGCCATGCTTCGGCACAAACGGGCCAGCTGGACTGGACTGATCACGTTTCGACCGAAGGACACCGATCATGATCGTGAGAGGAGAGGTATTTAGGCACAGTTTGTGTGAACGAACCACGAACGAACCATGGGACAGTACATACTGGACAGCTGGAGTGGACTGATACCAAGGCCCTACAAAAAACTGGTGTTAAGGAGTTATTTCCTTACTGTTTCTTTCCTAATGATAAATTACAGCCTGACACAGAATAATGGAACGTGCTCATCAATTATTTGTGTGTCATATTATATGTTACTAGCTGACCCGCGCAACTTCGTCTGCGTCTCTCAATAGTAATAAATTTTCTCCGTTTTTTAAACATTCTTCATTGGTGTTCCGCTCCTATTGGTCTTAGCGTGATGATATATAGCCTATAGCCTTCCTCGATAAATGGGCTATCTAACACTGAAATAATTTTTCAAATCGGACCAGTAGTTCCTGAGATTAGCGCGTTCAAACAAACAAATAAACAAACAAACTCTTCAGCTTTATAATATTAGTATAGATAGGTGGGAATCGAACGTCGTGGGTTCGATTCCCTTTGGCTTAGCAGTCAGGGTCAATAACCAATGGACCAACAGACCTTCATTCCATGTCACCTAGGCATCTTTCTGCATTTGTATATTGAATTGGTAACATACTAAAAGGTTTTGGCTCGTTTACTTGATGTCGACGGCCTGCCTGAGGCTAATCCTCCTTGGGGATATAATCGTTTTTATGCGGGACATAGTTAGATATATATAGGGAGGGTAATGCTGATAGGGCAAGGGATACCGCTAGTCGCGGAACAGAATAAGAGTTTAATAGCTCGAAAGGCCTAGGGTTGGGCACGTTGGGCAACACAGGAGCAAAAACTGTCTTAGCAATGGCCAAGGACCACTTCTAATCCAAGCTATAGCAGGCAAAATTTAACCCTCACTTGCGCGGAAAATGCGCTAAACTGTCGATGCCATTTTAATTCAATACCCAGCATTAGCATTTATAGTGTTTACTGGATAGAGAGCTGCGTGTGCGCATGCAATCCACACATTATGTCCGAATAAAATCTAAAATCAATATTAATCCACAACATGATACATAGCCTGTCTAAATGTCGACAGAAACGAGTTCCGATTATCGATACAATCGATTAGTTCCGATGTTATATAATTATATTCACACACCTCAATTGAGGTGCTATTTTTTGACAATAAAATACTTATATCGGCGATAGTGTAATGACTAAGGTGTCAGAACTTTTGATCGAGTGATTGTGGGTTTGAATCCTATCCGTTATACTGTCGACGTGAATACCTTACACGAATATTCAGTTTTGTTACGAGCCAGGAGTTCGGCAAATAAAAGTAGACGTTTATTTTACCGTATACGGTATTACCAAAATTGGCACTGTATTTATCAACACACAGTTTTACAAACAATAACTTCACTAAATAACTTCTAGAATGTCGCTTAGATGTTAATCCGCTGTGTCGTAAAACAATACTCGCCCGTACAGCCAACACACTCAATAACTAGAATAATCCCTGTTTCCCTTTTAGGAAGGAGTACGCTCTTTCTTGAAGAGTTGAAGGTCGTATCCTGTTCCACAGACCAGTTGTGTGAGGCAAAAAGTGTCTTGAAAAGCGCACAATGGGAGAGCGCCAATCATCCAGGTGATGGGGATGAAAATTCTGCCGTGAGGAATGATGGTGGAAAGTTGCGGCCGGTACTAGTCCGAATAATTCATCGGAGCACTCTCCGTGATACATACGATAGAGAATGCAGAGTGAAGCTACATTTCAGCTACATTCTTTTAACTTCTTTATAATAGC